CAACAGTTATTTTTATAAATTGAAGGTTGTGTTGTGTTCACACCCAGTGGGGGTTCAGAGCGTCAGTGAGTTTCTAGAGATCTGACACATACAGCTGAGCTGTCCACTCTCCTATTGATTTCCTTATCAAGGAACAGACACACAGAAGATGCTGGGAATGTGCTTTGGGCGACTGAAAGCTCTATGGACAAACACACATATACAGTATGCAGACACACACATACACACTCAGAGACCCTTACACATTGCAGTGGCACTGCTAGGTCTAATTCTTGGACTACAATCAGCTTTATGACCACCGAGGGAGACTTAGAAAAATGTGGCCATATTCCTGGGGAACTCGCACACATAACCATTACACACACTCTGCATGGTGTCCACAGGGCACTGGCTGTCAGTGGCTCTCCTGGATCTCTGCTACGCCCCACTGAGTCTTATCTATGACAGACAGAACAGTACACACATACACACTGATGCCCATGCCCATGCACAATACACCACATTCACAACTCAAATACAGCCTAAATTCATACTCCCTGAGACATGTCAGCATGTAGGCTTGCTCACTCTTTAACACACACACACACACACACACCCAAACACAAGTACAGCCGGGGGTATGGTTGAGACCTTGTTGCCCTGGGGCTTTGACTGCATCTGTTCTACAAGAGCAATACAAATGAGAAACGCACAGGAGCATTGAAAAACATCTGTGTGCGTGTGTGTGTGGGTGTAGATGTGTGTATGTGTTTTGCTAAACTTTCTATAGCCGTGAGTGTCTGTTTGGGGAACTTTGTGCCTGGCTTGTGTGGAAGCGTTGCATGCTTTCAGTCATTTTGTTGACATGCTTTTTTAACTGCAACTGGATTTTTTCTTAGTGTATTGGAGACAGTGCATTCATTTTACATTTACAGTTTCCAGTTATTCTTCCAATCCCATCTAGTCCCCTTTGTCTTCTAGAGGAGTATATGTTAGTGACTTTATCACCATTTCCACTTACATATACTTATTTTTAGTGTTAATATGAGCAAGCACCATTATAACCACATATACATGACACAAAAGAACAACCACACTAGGTTATCTTTAATGCAAAGATGTAATGCTTTTAAAGAGGCGAGGAGGTGGAGGAGGAGGAGGTGCTGTTGACAACTAACGGCTGTCACTGCATGTTTTCCTTGCCGTATATTAACTTCAAGAGAGGTGTGAAGTCAGGCAGAGGCATGAATAAGAAAGAAGTAAGGTGAAACAATAATATGGACACTGAATGATGGAAAGATGACAGAAGAGGTGTAAAGCTGTGCATTATACTTAAAAAGCCTGACTTCCGTCTGCTTTTGCTCCACGTTCTTCAGATGAATGTTAAAATCTGAAGACCAGTGGGTAAAATGTCTTTCTTTGGCTCTGGCAGTATTATAGAACCCAAATCTTCCCCAGTATTGTCCGATTTTTTTGCAAACAAAACACCGCAAAAAGAGTTACTTGAAAGTTGCTACACATGCCAATTTTTGCTCAGTTCAGTCATTTTATCCTGGAATAGGTTTAGCTGTAATGAGTTTAACTGTACTGAGTAATAAAGAAATTTACCTCCACCAGGCAGTAGCTCGGCTGATTCAGAACATTTCATTTCAGCTGTCTTTTCTAATTTAGTCAACAAGGAAGAAATCATCTGCTCAGCTGGTCAGCATTATTGTGTCACAAAATGAATATTCATGCATGAGCATGTATGGGAGACAGACATACAGTCACACAGGGTGCTGTCAGATTAGAAGAGTCTCTCCAGATTCCTGTTGTCACACCTGGCTGAACAACACACTAATTAACCCTGATTTCACTTAGAAAGCCTGGAAGAAGACACAAACACACACATACCTGCACAAATTAATTTGAAAACCTTACGATACCTTACATGTGAAAACACAAATGAAAAGGCATGATGATACACACGCCCAGAGAGAAATTAAGCCACATAGGATGTTTCTACAGCACATGAATGAATAGATTAGAAAACTCACAAGTACACTAACGTGTGAATCAAGGACAATGCCACATTTACACACATTTAGCAGCACACACTGTGCACACAGGGCTTCGGGGAGGTGTGTTCATGCATGTGCGTGTGTTTAATTTTTCCGTTCTCGCTCGTTCACTGTGTTGGCATGGGCTATTCCCCTGGCACAATGCATGGCTGACAGCACCTGAGCTACAAACACAAACACATACACACAGGAGTAAGACACAGAAACACACGCATGCACACAGACACATTCAGTAAGGTAAGCAATACACACGCACGCATTCGCACACATTTGGATGTTCTCAGGAGTACAGTCTGTGCGTTCTGCTAACAGATGGTAATGACAATTTCAGTCCCTGGACTATCATCTAATCAAAACAGCACACTCACACACACACACAGGCTACACATTCCAGCCTCCCTTCAGATTAAAACATCCTTCACACCAAATAAGGTTAACAGCATAATTCAAACCAAATATGCATTGAGAACATAATTTAGGCCGGAGCGCCTCTGCACTGAAACGGATTTCAGTGATGCAATTCAAATTCCATTAAAAACAAACAGTTCAATCCCCCTTGCGCCGCACAATTATATATTTAATACATATAAAAATATATATATATTTCACACTAAATATTTTAGGGCAGAGAGGTGTGTTTGTGGGAAATGCATCCTAGACATCTACTTTAAGCTTCACTGGGAGCACTCTATTCTTAAATAAACACAAGATATATACTATTTATATATGATAAATAGTGGAACCCATGGACTGAAGGGTATGTTACACTATAACTGCAGAAAACCATTCCTTTGTGTTTGGACCCCTTTTCCCTGGTTATAAACTTTGGTCAGGATGCAACACAAGATGCTGTCAAAAGGCAGCCCCGGAGAATGTCAAGCGATCAAGCATAAACTCAGCTCTACAGTGACTGAACACATAGGGCTTCAGTGTCATGGTCAAGGACACTTAAAAAGAGAATAAAAGTTGTGAGCTTGGGGTCTTATACTTTATTTCTTAAAGGATAAATGCCAGGAAAAAATACCTGTTACTTTTGTTGTGTGCCATGCTGCAAGAAAGCTAGCTTAAGAGAATCGTAGAGTGCTAATAGGCTAACATATTAGCATACATTGCTTGGTGTTCGCATCTTTTTCCATGTTGCTTCACATATAATTAAGTATCAGTGCTAAAATACAAGTATTCACTATGTTGAGCAATAACTAACTGAACCCTTTTATAGACTTCATGAGAGACAGAAAGCCCTTTAGCAGGCGCTACGTCGATCAGGTCAACATTGAAAAAAATGAATGATTATTTCCTATTTATTCAGAACTTCATGAAGTCCACAAGTTGGAGGTGGAGACAAAGATCGTTATAAAAAAAGAATTAAAAACACAGTGCAACAGAAGGAGATGGGGAGAGGTAAAAGAATGTAATTATGTCTGACAACAACAGATAGCTGCAATGCTATAATTCTATCAAAGTCCTTACAACAATATTATCCAGCCTACTCAGTACATCAATATCCTTCTCAGCAGGACAGGACCATATTTCCTGTTGTTCACAAGAATCATGGGAGAGGGAATAACTTGCTAAATGGCAGATTTTCCTTCATATTTTTACCCTGTCACAGAGTTGATAGATTGCATTAGAGTATTTGAATGTCCTCAGTGAGAGGATTTGTCGAACAGCACAGAACAGTACACTACGGGGGCAGAGGAAACAGGAGGTGAGAAGAGATGAAAGCAAAACACTGAAGAAGAAAAGAAGAAGCAGGCAGGAGACAGAAAAAAGAATCAGTTTTGTAAGCAAATCATTGCTACTTTCTTTAGCATTAGTCAGATTAATGATTACCTTCTATTTTTGCTTTATAAGCATAGTTTCAGCTTATCTGAGACAATTAGGTTTTTTTATGTTTGGCAGCATGATGTATTCTCTGCATGTTCTTGCATTTCTTTTATATTGTTGATATGCTAGTGTTTAAATTGTCTCTATTTTACATTGCATGTTTAGCTACCCCATTACATCACACCTGTGTGCATATCACACATTTCTTATAGGTTTGAAATATTTCGATATCTCTGTCTTGATGCCTGCTTAATCATCCAGGTAAGGAAATCCCCAAAAGTTGATTCTGTTCATCTGAACATAGCGTTTTCAGTGGGAGAAACGTTTTGTCATCAAACAACCTCTGCTTAAGTGGATGGCACAACACAGAAGAGCTAACTCGTCAGGCCACGACTCCGCAGTCTATTTACACCTACAGGCCAGTGGACACATCACCCAGTGGATGTACACATCCCACTGAAAACGCTACGTTCAGGTGAACAGAATCAACTTTTTGGGATGTGGATATCTTGAGTAGTTCTGTGAGTTGTATATGATAACAGATGACCCAAAAGGTTTTCTATCCAACTTTTATCTGCAGTCCTGCTGAAGTACTGCTGTACTCTTCCTTTGACCTAATCAAGAAGAAACTATTATAAACTATTACAAAATCATCTTTTAATTAGGTGACTATGAACATTCAGAGGATAAAAAAAATCTTTTTTTTCATATATATTTAAAATAACTAAACAAAATAGCAGTATGAGTTTTGAAGATTGTGGGAAAGGGAGGGAATAAGAATCAACATACTGGGAAGAAAATGAAAAGATGGACAAAGACGGGCAGAAACTGAGTGAATGAGGGCTCATTGTGAGTTCTAGGCACTATTCTCAAATCTATTCAGTATTCTATCCTCAGCATTCTCACATCCCTAATGAGCAACAGCCAAATGCACACGCAACTACACAACCACAACCCAGGCTTGTTTCTCACTTTCTAAAGAAACTGTCCCACTTTACTGCATCCTTTCTGATCTGATTTGTTGAACAATGCTCTACTTATATCCATCAAAATTCCTTTCCGATGCTCTGGTTTTAAATGAAAGATAAATCATCTTGTTTTTGTAGTTTAAAGAAGTTAAACAGATGAACGTACCTTTAACAATGAGGTCAGCGTAGTTGGACACCCCAGATCCACCGTCTGATCGGATGACACACCGGTAGCGGCTTGTGCTGCGCTGAGATGTGTCGCCAACGCTAACGGTCGCAGAAAAACGTCTGTGGTTCACCACCCTGGTCACCATCAGGGCTGTGTCTTTACCATTCCATTGCTGCATGGTGGAAAAGACCAGAGAGTTTTCAACAAAGACTCCAAGTGTTTACTGTCATTTTTTTTGCTTTGCGTATGATTGTGGTATCATACTCTCAGATATAGACCCCCTGGGTGAGGAGGGTCACTGATCTCCTTTGGAGCATTCTCAGCAGTACATACTCATTTAGTGAAAACATGTAAGCTTGCCAATGCACATGGATGTAAAGCAGAATGAGTACATAGGCATGGCTGCACACAGCATATACACTCAGGCGCATAAACAAATCACACGTGCAAGGATGGAATCACTGGTGCAAAGCAGAACAAGGAGTTTTAATCAATTCTGAAATAGAGCTGGTAATACTTGGGATGTTCGCCAAACAATACTATAAAATAAAATTAAGAATAATATATGAATAATAACTTTATCTGTTATGTTGGCCTTTCAATGGTTTAAATTTTCTTTTAGTTTCTTTTAGTTTATTGAAAAATATATACCCGTTTATCCTATATGTCCATTAAAATTAAAGTCTAGGAAGAAGTTCCAGGTGTAAACAGCAGTACGTACTGTAGGTACTGATGTCTATAAATGTGCAGTGTTGTTGACATTAGTAATACTGTTAGTACACTTTTTTTATATATTCATATTTGTGTCCCCAAGTTGGGTAAATTGGGTAAATATGGTTTGGTTTGTGGTATTCTGTCCCTCCTTTTAACAAACATATATGTATATATATCCATTTATGCACAGTTTTACTAACGTGAACATACTCACCTGCAGCCAGAGTTTATCATGCTGAGACCACTTCCCTCCAGCAGTACACTGAAAAGTAGCATTCTGACCCACATTTACCTCCACATTCTGCAGGCGTAGAAAGTGTGGGGCTTTACCTGCAACACAGACAGCAATGTGCTGATGATATAGATGTGTAAAAGTCAGGATAAATATAAATCCATTCTTCTTGGTCTTTTTTTTATACACGTTGAATTCAATGTTGTTGAAGTCATCAAATGCATATATAGTCTGCAAAAACAAATAAATTATTTAAATGATAAACAATATCCCAATTACCCAAAATTAACATGCTAATAAAAAATAAATTGCTTGCTGCTCAAAGTGTTACTGTTACAGTTTAAGAGTTCACACTAGATTCATGCTAGCAACAAGAAACAGCACTTTCAGGGAAACCATGAACGATACTAATTCAGTTCTAGGAGAGCTTAACATTGTCTGGACTACGGCAGAGAAATTCTGTGGCCATGAGACAGATGCAAAGGTCTGTCAGTGAGACAGACAGCTGGGTGACTTTGGTCTGCCATTGAGACCAGCCTGCGACTGGTTAATTTCATTTTGACTGTCTGCAGACATAGATAAGACTAACAGAGTATGCATCGATCACTCAACAATGATAATTTGTCCTGACATTAATGGTCAGCTTGTTGCAAATGACAAGGGCAAAAACTTAGATTTGCTTTTTTTGAAAATCTTTCATTATTTTTATAGTCATCTTTTTCCTCAGTCTTTTTAAAATTAAATTGGATTTGAGTTTTTCCTTACACTGTAAATATGTTTGCTCTCTTTTTGAATAATACGATTAGTGGCTTGCAAAGGTGAACTGATTGTTTTGCGTCGGCTGTTCAAAGGAAAGATACAAGGCAGATAGAAAGAAGGGCTGAGGAGAGGATCAGCAAGAGAACCACGGTGGACAGACCGAACATAGATAAAATACAAAGATAATACTAGTGGAGTGATTAAAAATAAAATACTTTTCATTTTCATTTATAATCCTTTCAAAATGAATGCAATATCATTTATCAATTAATTTAGCTATACTGCTCTAATATGATGACTAAGTATGATTTGATTCCTATCTATAAAATAGACGTAAAACTGAGTGTAAAACTTTGATTCCTGAAACAACATAAACAGTTAATAGGAGCAGAAGGAGAATGTCAGGAGTTGCAGAATACTGAGAAGGCAGGGCGCAGTAAGTAGACCTCAGACTGTGGCAATAAGCAGTCCAGAGTTTTGTGAAGCAAAGTGTTTTTGTCACATTTGAGTGATGAAGACCCTGGGTCTGGACCTTCTTCCTTGCTCTCTACAATCTGTCTGCGACCCTCACAATCTGTCCTTTATGCTGTGTTTTTGTGTGTGTAAGTGTGCGACATCTATAAAACAGATGATGCTCAGCAGGGCTACAGTTGTGCAGGGTCAACCATCACAACACATTCACAATCTCTCCCACTTACGGCATGGGTGAGCCAGAACTCGTATGTCATCAATGGCGATGAAACCTGGGTGGCCTTGGACTGAAACGGCTTCAAATATTACCTTAGACCAGACAGAAGAAAGGAAGAAAGAATGAAAGAAATGCAAGCGTTATAATGAAATTCAAAAATAAGAACTTTCTTTCACAAACTGGAACATCTTGACATCCCTATGAAGCTCATATGGGAACCCCAGGGGAGTTTTCCACTAAAAGTCAGCAACTATTCCTCTTTTCACTTTATCCCTTCTGTCTCCATCCTTATGCCAAGCACATATGCTGCCTCTCCTCTGCCTTCTTCCTCTCTTCTTCATTTAAACCTCCTCTACTTTTCCTCCTGTTTTCTTCCACGCTTTATCTATGTTGTACTTTTCAGACTTTTCCACCATCCCATATTTTCTCTATATTTTCGCATTTTCCTCTATTTTTCCTTCCTATTTTTAATTGCTCTTTTGTGTCTTTCTCATTTTACTCTCCCAACAGGACAGTCCCTTATATTTTCCAACAGAGTTTATGCCAACTCTCAGGATGAGAACAGGGTGTCAGCAGGGCTGTCAAGGGGCCATGCACTCCTGACCCACACATATATAGACTCATACACACTACGCACGCTACACACACACACACACCTCTGTGCTGTACTTGTCAGGATTCTCAGCAGTATCAGCTGCGACTCACTCTGAATACTTAAGACTTCTGGGAAGTCTTTACTCTCCTCTGTTACTTCAAAAATAAATCCCTTTTGGCATACATATCAAGTTTCTAAAAGTCACAGTCACTGCTAAAGCTTTGCTGTATTAGCAACAGTTTGACAATGTTGTTTACAGTGTTGGTAAACTGAATTTAATTTGAAATTATAAGCATTTACAACATTATTTTGATTTGTGTAATAGCATGTCACTGTGTGAAATTGGGATTTCTATTCCCAACTTTGATTGATTGCACATATTTGTTTCGCTATATAAACAAAGGCTGGTGCTGATTTGACCCTGATAAGCATACATGTTGTTCACTATTTACAGTTTTGTGTCTCTAATATTTTTCTAGTGAGATTTTGTCAGAATTTTTTTTTTTATTTTTCGATGCATTCCCACTGGGGAATATCTGAATATTCAAATATCTAGCACTCTATGTTGATATGATATTCCAATAACAAACAAATTATTGATCTAGAACAGTTAAACAATTCAAAAGAGGAACTAAATTGTCTTTAAAACTTGTTTCTGCCCTCAGTGGCCTCCAGTACTCTGTACTGTACTGAGTGCTATTTCCCCCCCAGGTGGTGACTCTTTATTAGGGAAGGAAACATGCACAGAGACACACTGACATTTAATTCACTTTGATTACCATTGTGCCTTGTATCTGTGTGAGACACAGGGGTGCCTGCATTTACTGAGCACAGCTCAGTCATTAGGTACAACAGAGTTGCTTTTGTGGAGCCTCATAAAATAACACAGCAGGCTATGTCTCTGTACCTTAAACCGACCAACACACACACACACACACGTACACAACAGAGAAAGTCATTAAAGAATGACTGTCATGAAATGTACCTTTTGTGCTCAACCTACAGTTAGATCCACGTGTTTTTGGATGATGACATATTTGTTGTTATTTATGTGCATCTAAGCAGTACAGTACCTAAACAATGTCTGTGAGAGTATGTCCAGAGGACTTGTGTGCATTTGTAGTACCTGATAGGAGTTGGGCCAGAATGTAGAAATAGCCAATTCAGCTTTCACCCAACCTTCAGTGACAGTATCAGAGGCATTCCACACTGGGTTACCCTGAGCACCTCCATTCACCTGCAGGCAGGGAGAGAAAAAGAGGCACGGTTTAATTAAAGCAGAGTTAGTGGATAAAACGAAGAAAAGGGTAAAACTAACAAACTGCAGTAAGAAAACTACTGAATCCAACAGTAACATGCTGTTTCCCATTATAACCTGATGTAGTCCACAAACTACATAAAAATCAAGAGCTCTGCTATCTAGCAGCCTATACTACAGCTAACTTGATCCCTGCTAAAAGGGAATAGATGATGACTTTCTGTTTACCTACCTATCACTTATTCTCTTTCTCCCTTTCTCTCTCTTACTTTCTCTCTCTCAGACACACACACAGACAGACAGACAGACACAGCCACACACACACACACACACACACACACACACACACACACACACACACACACACACACACACACACACACACACACAGATAGATATTTAGTGCCGGAGGGCTAACTTCATCCCTCCTAACAGAGAACAGAGGTGTGTTTGTTTGTGTACATGTTCAAGTTTCATCAAGCCCTTCATATGTCAATCTACCCGCTCCCGCCCTGTCATTCACACACACACTGAACACACACCTTGACATAGACATTGAGTGTGCCTGGGCTGGCTCCATCCCGGCTGGATAGAGAGTAAAGAAAGTCGATGCAGTGGGTGTCATTCTCCTTCAGGGTGGGCATGTACAAGTGAGCCTTCTGACCTGATGCCCGGCCTGAAGCGTTCACCACCATGAACGAACCTACAGAAACAAAAATACAAAAATGACACTAATGAAATAGCTGTTGTTCCATTATCAATAATGAGTCTTTCATTGAACCTAACAAAGTTGGTCAATATTAGGACTGTGCGATATGACCAAAATCTCATATCCCGATATAAGAATTCTATCGTCCCGATAACGATATAAATCACAAAAATGTAACATTTTCTGTAAATTCTGTGAATCTCGGGCAGCTCGTCTTGCAGGAAGTGTTTCCAGCTGCGCGTCATGTACTGTAGCTGGAGTCGAGTTTTTTAACCGATGCATGAAACTATACATTTTTAGACATAAGTTGTAAAGGCCATTTAATTCTCATCCGTAAATAATCTGCTCTTTCACGTGATTCAGTTTAGTTTGAAAAGTCTCAACAGGATCTTGAGCTTTATTGTGAAAGGTTTATGTGGAACATAAACAAGCGGACACCCGATGCTGTTACCGTCGTTGTTGCTAACCACAACGCATAAAAACAGGCGCTTGTCCCTCCATAGTGTGGTTATATAAAATATATGAGAAAGAGAAAGAGAGAACGTTAAGAAATTAATATAGCCACTACAGTGACCATCAAAACAATGAAAAAATATTGCCGTAAACAGTTTATTTTGCGACACCACGAAACAAACGATAGCGTAAAATGAAACGATAGACATTTTTATATCGTCATCCGATATATATCGTTATATCAAACAGCCCTAAGTCAATACTGTGTGAAAAACATTTTCCAGGGTATGCGGAATTCAGACTTAATCTGCCACTTCTGATAACTGGTTCTTTTGGTTGCTTTGCTCCATACCATTCAAATAATTTTCAAGGTGTCATTAACATCTTGTTATGTGTACCACTGCATTTAGGCTGCAGCACAAATATCCACAAAGTAAACCAGCTGTAACCCTGAGAATTACTTGGTTATTCATTTAGACTTGTTTTGTTTTTGTTTAAGCACATAAAAAAAGGTCAACCCAGTTGTCGTACCACTATTACTTTTGCTGCACAAATAAACATCTTCTTGATGGATTTATCCTGTAAATGTAGCAATGACAGAAACATGCTGCAACATGACTTTGTAGGCTAATTTCTGTTGAACACACAATTAATTTCTAAATACTAAAACGCTGGGACACAGTTGACTAGCTTTGTGTGACATTCGCCAGATGCTTGATAAAGCAAAAAAAAAAAACAAAAAACCTCAGGGTCTTTAATTCACCAGAACTGTATATCAATGTCTTAATGTATCCACACCCTGGGGTTCTGAACTAAGACGTAAAACACATTTTCTCTGTTGGCTCGTTGTTTAAGTGTGTTTTAGTCAGTGCTTTATGGAGCAGGATGGAGCTTTTATGGGTTGGCCTCCTCCATTTGGCTGACTGCCATCAGGTGGACTGAGAGTTTGAAGTGACTAGGATACTGGCAAGAAAAGGGAAAGAAGAGATACTGAATCAAGCAGATGTGACTGTGCATTTCTAACGTGAGTTCTTGTGCATGTATGAAAATGTTCTGAATCAAAGTACGAAGAAATATGGGAGCTTAAAAATACAGTGAGTCATTTCTTTAGGTTATTTAGAAGAAAAAAAACAATATTGTACTCATAAATATGCATCAATTAGTGTTTAATTACGTATTCCAACAAGTTGATGCCTTCTCTTCAATGAATTTAAAGTAGTTTGAGGAAATTAATATGTTGCCCCTCCATCTTTACTATAGTGGCCAGAGTTGACGTTGTCGCTTCACCTAATCATTTTTATGTATGCTGCTAAAGACCGGTCACATACATTCGCATCCCAAATGTGGGGGAAAAGAAAACTCATGCAGACTCAAGATATGAAGATGATATCTATGTTTTATCTAAAAAGGAAGAAAAGAAACAGTAATGTGAAGGAAAGAGGCAAATGTGATGGTGTCTGGACAAACTGAAAGTCAGTACTGGCACAGCAGTGCTTCCCAGATTGAAGAAGCTGCAAAGAAAGAATTATTTTAAAAGTGATTGCCCACTTTCTGCTCGGTGTGTAATTTGACCTAACAGTCTAAATTGAAAGGCTTTGCTATCTCTTGGCTGACTGAAGTACAGTCACAATGTGAGAGCTAGTTCTAGCAGCCTAACAGAACCATTAGAAAGATTTGTTTACTCGATTTCACCTCCTAAGATTCCAATTCACAAATATAATTTTCATGAGAGAAATTCATACTTTATAACTCAAATACTTGATTTTAAAGGCAGTGAAATGATGTGAAGACAATAGATTGTAATGGCAGGGCAAACCCATGACGTTTACTGTCACTGACTTTAATTCCTTGAAGATTACCATAACCTTAATCTTATCTGAATTCTGATCTTGAATAACACAAATACACATACAGAGGTGCCTGAAAACGACTGATGCCTCAAAACATTTCATCCATTTCAACTCAATGGAACTAATCCACTCCGGCACTGTGGAAGTCTGAGAGTATGATGGTTAATGTGATGGTTTATGTGTGCCTGTGTGTATTGATATTGTTGAAGTTACGGTAATTTGATGTGGGCCTGCCTGACAGCTGAGGTGTGTGTCTCACTGCTGAAGTTAAATGACGGTTTGTGTGTGTACGCTGCCTGCGTGCATGCAAAATTAATCTAGCCTGGGTTTCTAAACAGGTCTTTCCACAGCGAACTGGCTCTGATTACATTTCTTATTCACACAAACTCACACATAAACACACTCTCTCTATACTCCTTTTTTTGTCCTTTGATGCTCTGTAAAGCTCCTTCCACAGGTACTTTTGTTTATCTGCTTTTTTTGTTGTTTGTTTGTTTTTTAAAGCAGACTTGAGTCAGTCTGACACTCAAGCAATACGTGTGATGTCTGTTACCCAGAAACTTCTCTCACTATGACAACTCTCTGTGTGAAGGAGGCAGAAGTGTTACAATGTATCCACAAACACAAAAGGCACAATATTAAAGACCTTCACAGGTTAAACGAATTTATTATTTTACTACATTTTGCTGGGAAATCTTGTGTCCTGACTTTCTTGTGGATATTAGTTAGAAACGTGACGCACCAGTGTGTCCCACAACACTGAAAAAACTGCTCACGAAGCACTAGACGCAAAGAGTTGACCTGGCTTCCAAACACACTTTATCCCAATCTAATTGAGCACCCGAGGAATGAAGTAGAACCCCTGAGGCCCCACTCCAGAGAGTTGGGTCGGCATCCACCTATCGTTGTATATTCACACATATGGAACAATGTCATCCAAACAAAACACAAACAAAATGGATGCCCCAGACGCCTATAAAAAGCTATTTTTATACAATGAAATATCGCTAAGACACCGACAATGATGTTTTCATTCGGTCACAAATGTCATAGCAAACACAGACACACTATGACACACAAAAACAAGTGCACACAGCCATCATTTCACACATTGTTTCCCAGGTGTGAGGTCAATCTGTTAACGTGACAAAAACTGATGAATCGGTCTACCGTGTCAACACGCACACATAAGCACACTCGAACGCTTACACGTACATCAAAATAACTGGGTCAACTCAGTGCAACAAACGTTCCAGCACATATTGCCGCATGAGACCAGCTGTTTTCACAAATACTGCTGAGAGTTTGAGATTTCACTTTTACTTTTCAAAAGCAGTCTACATCAAAGGGCAGCAGACGCCGCGACTGTGTCTGTCAGCGGCTGAAGTGCCTTTGAGCAAAGTATTTAACCCCTGGTGCTGCTATGCATCTGCACTGTAATGTGATCACGTTCAAAATATTGTAAATAATGATACTTAACACTAAGAGAAGTATTATATTATTTTAATATAGTGGTAAATTGTTATTTGTACTAAATTACACTAAAAAATGATATTATTAACTCTGATTGGTTAGCCATTTTAAGTCTATGAATTAATGACAGGTATAAAAAAATAATCAAAACAATTTGTATCTAATGTATGAAAATATCATAGAAGATCATTTTAAGGATATATTCTGATTTAACAGGAGCTTAACTTAAGATTTGATTGACTCAAATTATATTTGACATATTTAACATCATATTTGTTGAATTATTTATGTTACTTTTTTTGTAGTTCAGCCTGTCATGGCATAAAATAAAAGATTATGATTTACCTGTGTAGGGAAACGACAGTTCCAGTACAATGTACAATCAAAAGCTGCCAAAATGTTAAGATTGTGGGGTCTAAGAATTTGGCAGCTCCTATATGGTGATCTATATGTGTATGAGTGTGAGGGAGAAAACATGGGACACAAGGAGGTTCTTAGATAAATATCAAAGGTGAGTCATACAGCTCAGCAATAATAAAATCTGGCTAGTTAACATGCAGGTTGCTGCACTCTCACAGAGATACACCACAGTGACAAGTGTACAGTAGAAGATTCTTTAATGGTTTTTTTAGTACTTCAGTATTTTTCTGCATAAAATGGCTACAGTTTTGTAATTGTCAAAGGTTTTATTATAGTTCATGTTTCAGAGAAGTAGAGCACTTTCCTTCGATGATATTATTGGGCAACTCTTATTTAACAAGAAACTGGCTTGTGTAAAAAGAGGACAATGTTTCACTGTTCACCAAACTGCATATGTGTAAAAGAAAAAAATCAAATGTGTGAGAGAATATGCTTTCTATGTGTCACTGACTTTCCACTGTTTGCAAGGGGTGACAAGAGAGTCACTCCTTTAAAAGGGCATAAAAATGGTTGTGAAGCATGTAGGCTGCTGGCTAAAAATAAGAAACAATCTCACATGTAGAATGACAAATTGCGACCTCTGTTGTCTGTGGGGCCCAAAGGAAAATACTCAGAACACAAGCCTCCCACACTCTTACTTGTTATCATTTACTAGAGACTTGTTAGATTCTGCATATCATTAAAAGCAGCTTTAAACTGAGAGAAACCCTTTATTCATTGCGATCATTGTAGTTTCCTCTTTCTCCTTTCAACTAAGTAAGGAGGGAGATAAAGCAGTATTTTAATATGTGAGTTAAG